AATCTTTTATATGCAGTATAACTCAATAGGTATTAACATGATCCTCACTTTAGAGATGGGGAAATTGAGACCTGGAGAAAAAAGTAAGTTTCTCAAAGTAACTAATAAGTGACAGAGAGGGATGGATTAGGAACCCTAGCAGCCTGGTAAGAAGAGTCTGTTTTATTAACCACTATGCCACGAGCCTCTGAGGGAAACATGAAACACTTTCTCCCAAACTTCTGACTATCTGATTAAAAACTGTAATCCCACAACTCTTTTTCCCTTACCTAATCATATAATGGGTAGATTTATGATGTATATAATTACTTTTTTTAATACTTCCAAGTAATCTCCTAAAGGCAAGGATTTTGCCTGTTTTGTTCACAGACGCAACTTAACTAGCACAAGGTGGGACTTGTGCCTAGCACAAGGTGGGAGCTCCATAGGAAATTGTTGAATGAATAAAAGAACGATTTCTTTTTTTCCTTTTAAAGAAGATGAAAGAGTAAATTCCACGAGTGAACAGTAGTTGGAGAGGAACAGAGGCAGGGCACTGGGAGTTGTGTTTTGAAACATTGATTAGTTAGTGAGGTCTGCCTAAGGTGTCAAGTGGGAGCGGAAGAAATCAGTGAGCAAGCCTCTCAGCAAGGGAGGTTGAAGCCATCCAGGCTTATACGCATAAGCCTTTGCTCCCTCACATTTTGTTTGTAGCTTGTTCAGCAATAGACACTGGGAAGGAGGGCAGGAAGACATCAAAGGAGCTGTATTGTTCATATGTTTTCTCCCTTTGGCAGCTATTTGCTCTATTTCCTGCTGACACTACAATTTCAGCGATTTAATGATACAATTTTTTTCTGAAAAGGACACAGAAACAGACACCCTCAGCCATTTAATTGGCTGCCCTGACGAAGTGGAATCTGCTGTTTTCTAATTTCATTTTTGAGGGGCGTGGGGATTTGGAGAGGCTGGGAGAGAGATAATATTTACTTCTTTTAGAAAAGGTACAGTTTTGTAAGGGATATTAGTCTACCTAATTAAGGTCTGCCATTTCCATGGCATGCACTAGGATACCTATGAAAATTACTCAATCCCAGCAAGGAGTTTGCTAAAGTCGTTTATCTTCCAATTCAGTCTGCCCTTAGGTCAATGGAATTTCATTTGCCTTAGGAATTCTACATTCTTTATGTCAAGTTTACTCTGAAATAGTTTGCTATTCCTAATAAATCATAGCAAGAAGCATAACTCTGTTATAAATGTCTGATCCTTTCCCTTGCATAATTTAGGTTTGCTCTCTCTAGGTCTGGGATTGTTGAGTGTTATGTATTGGTTTGACATGATTTCAAATCCACTTATTTATGACAAAGACCAAAAAATGTTCTTTTTAGAAGTTAAGGGGTTTTGATATAAGAATGAAGTAAATTGGGTCAGGATATCATCAACTTATCTGTTCTCACCAGTAAGAACTCAGTAGCTCAGCAGCTGAGGGGTCCCACTGGGGGCTTAGCAATAAAAACATAGGAAGAAGCAATTGTGGCAAGGGGACATTTTGACTATGAACATGGATTTTTTGAGGACTACTCAAGAATGTTCAGTGTGGGCAAAGCTAAACTTTGTTGATCTAAAATGGCTCTATGAAGACTGTAGGGCAATTAGTTCCTACTACAGTGTAGGTGACTCTTTTACAAGCAGTGGTGAAAGCTGTCCAGTGGCCGCATGAAGAAGATCCACTTGCCCGTCAACACCCTTGTCCTATACTTGTTCCCTAGCAATGTGCTCTAGCGACAGGGTACTGTTACCTTTGCACTGGCAACTGGATATCAACTACTAGTTGGTTTAGCCACCGCTTCTGAGTACCAACTCATATAAAGGTACACCTCAACGAAATTTGGACTTCATTACTTTCATTTCTCCTTGCCTGGAATAATAGTGTGATTAATCTAACACTGGGTTGGAGTATTTTATTTCCTTATTGGATTATCAAGAGACATTATTCTGCACACTATTGACTTGTGAAATTCTTGCAGTGAACCTGTGTTAAATACTATTGACAAAGGCAAATCTCAGTCTCTGATCATTAGTTTACACGAAAACAAAACACTATGTAATCAGCTTTTGAATCTGGGCACTTGAATGAGCCTTGCTACCTTCTCATCATTTGAACTAGTGCATTAAATACAGGATATTTATATTTTCTGTTACTACAAAAAAATTTCCCTCCTTTTACCAAATTTACAGGAGTCATAACAAAGTTTACCCAGATCTTCCTCATTTTCATCTTTAACATATAAAATGAAATACTGGATTTCTAAACAGGACAGTTTACATGGTGAGAAAATATGGTCAATATACTCACAAAAAAAGAGTGTGTTTTGGAGGGCAAGGTGCTGAAGCTAAGTATTATACATAAAAGTAAGTATAAACTAAAGATTGGAGAAGGTCTGAAAGTTGTTCATCAATTTAGTCAACAAAGACTATGAAAAGAGGTTATAATAGGCCAATATACCTATACATTAAATCAAATTTTAAAAGGTAACCGTCGCTCATCCTGTGAAGAAAATGCTTTCAAACGTTTTTTTTTTTTTTTTTTTTTCTTTTACAAGACTTATCTAGTATTACTTCTCTTTCTTCCAGGAACCTGGAACTTCTTTAAGCTACTGACACAAACACTTTTGTTTCAATGTCTCTTCCCTTTCCAATAGCCTCACCTCATGTGCCTCAGTTTGGTTCAAAGTGTAACTTAAAATTTTTGAGCTTAGGGGCGTCTGAGTGACTCAGTCATTAAACGTCTGCCTTCGGCTTAGGTCATGATACCAGGGTCCTGGGATCAAGGCTGGCATTGGGCTCCCTGCTCAGCAGGAAGCCTGGTTTGCCCTCTCACACTCCGCCTGCTTGTGTTCCCTCTCTCACTCTCTCTCTCTGTCAAATATATAAATAAAATCTTTAAAAACATTTTTTGAGCTTATTATTGTATAGGTCCCTCTTCCTAAGCAAACTAACTTTCTCAAAAGTATATATAAAAACTCCATGAAAATATAAACAGGTAAGCACAAATAAACAAAAGCAACCCTCAGCATAAGGCTAGTGGGGTATTACCCACTCTTTGCGGATACTTTAGTTACAGACTAAAATAAGTGTTGGTGATGTGCACTGGATATAGTAGAATTCTAGCCAACATTAAGCCAAAAATAAATGAAAGCCAAGACTGAATTCCAGAGTGTGGATGGAAGGAGATTAGTAAGTGGTCAGAAAGAGGAAACAAAAAGTAAAAGTATTTTGGGAGAGCACTGATTTTATGTAAAATAAAGTCATCTTCGGAGGGGAAAAACATGGAGAATCAAGCAAGGGAAGTTTAATGGGCCAGGAAGTGGAACACATAGCCTAGCCTATGTTCCCCTGGCCAGAATTCAGTCACAAGCAAGAACTTAACAGGAACTGGGGTCAGTGGGCATGGGCACACCACCATCAGTTAAGAAAATTAGATCCAGACAATATTTGTATGTGTTCTAGATGATGGAAGATTAAACAAAATCACAAACAATCAAGAAAACAATAAAAGAACAATAAAACAAAGTTTTAAACAAGCAATAAAAGAAAGTTTTATTTTCATTAGCAGCCAGCCAAAACAGAGTTGGCAAATAACTATAGGGCTGTTGTTGATAAGAGCAGTAACAGAAACAAGACACCAAGCCATCCTGGGAGGGGAGATGAGTCCCAACGATGAAATCAAGGAAATAGTATTAGAACGAGACTGAAAAGGACAACTGGTGCTTTGGAATTTCCATCTCTATGGAGGCCATCCTGTATAGACACAGAGATGAGCTGTTTCCAGATGTGCAATGAAGAAATAACAAACTGCTTGGGAGGTTTTGAGTAGAGAGGATCAATATTCAAAAACAGGGAGCCATTTGATAAAGCAGACTAGATGAATTGACTTCCAAGTGTAACACTGGCAAAAATAGGCATATAGTGAAATTTGCTAGAATATATAATTCCTTTTAACAAAAGATCTTTTCAATTTTATAGTTTCAAAACTTAGTGGTCCATATTTGGTTTATTAAATGTGTGTGTTTGTGTGTTGTGGGGAGTATTCTATTAAAATTATTTTAAGTCAATTTAATTAATGTCAATTTGTAAAACATAATTTCCCCTCGATATCACAATATATGTGTATGCATTTCATTATAAATTCCAAATAAAATTTAATGAAAAGATCTTGAAAAAGTTAGGGTTAGAAATAGAAATAGATATATAGATTTATACATTTATAGATAAATTACTAAAGCAGCATGCTTCCTTTTCTTAGTGTCACATTCCAAGTGGATTTAGACTTGGTGCCAAAGAATGATATCTATCAACTTACTATGCATTTGAATAGGAAATTTATGTGGGAAATACAAGGCAGAGTTTAACTGAATATGTACTAAGCAAATTAATATTAGTTTAACATACAAAACTTGTGCTTTTGCAAACTTATACATAAAAAAAGACTTCATATATGGACTGATGATTTATTTCACGAAAAATTTCAGATGTAATGAATATAATACTAAGTCAGCAAACTTTAATAATACTCAAAACAAAAGCTTTCTATGCTTACGTGTCAGAAACTGCATGCATTAACTGATTTAATACTTAGAATGACTCTGTGAAGTACATGTTTTTACAGTGGAAGAAAATGAAGTACAGAAACATTTGAAAACCTCTCCAAGGTTATACAAATAATAAATGGTGGAATCCATTATTTATACATATTAAGTTTCCCCAGAATCTGTGGTCTTTATCTCTGTGCCAAACAACCTCCCATAATACAATGATATTTTTACGTTACAACATGTTTTCAACAATCCTTTTTTTCTTTAAAATTTTCATAGTGCTATAGCATTTATTAATTTATTCTCTTGGAAAATAAAACAAATGTTTTCCCTCATTTATCTATATCAGATATTAAAAGTCATGAAGTAAGTTTCACCTCTATCATATGGAGCTCACTCTTTTTTTTTTTTTTTTTTAGCCCAAAGACCAATCTGGAATGTATAAAAAGAAAACTGTAAATGGAATGCCCCTTGGTCTTGCTAGCATTACTAGCATTACCATAGTTATAACCAGGAAACAATGCCGAGAACACCATGTTTCTTGCCAGGTCCTAGCACAATTGGCTACTAGAGGTCACGTAGAGTAAATGTTACAGTCCTGTCTATGCACAAACTCACTTTTTTGGCCAATGAATGGCATTCAAACAAGCAGAGGATTGGTTCTTGAGACAGCTGCCTGAGTTCTAATACTAGATTTCTATCCATACCAATGCAGTCTTTAACTGCTCTGCTACACTACTTTCACAAATAGACAGAGACAAAAGGACTGACAGTTACAAGTGAATAATGCACGTGTTCACTTAACAAATAATTTTTCTGTGTGACAGACACAGTGCTATGGATATTCAGTGCTCATACCGAACCCTCACAAGGCTGCCCTATTCTGATTTTCATTACTTTTATCGATAAAGGTGGAGTACTTTCTTTCTCACCCAAAACTTTAACTCACCTTTTCATTACAAATAGCTGGCCAAAGAAAATGTCAAACCATAAATACAGAGAGACAGAATTTACTTGAATAGCCCCTACATCAAAGTGCTGTTTTCTTAGAAGCTCAGAAATGTTAATATGTATCACTTTGGCCAAAATATCTTTAATGGCAAAGGCATTGCCTTTGAGAGGGATAGCCCATGTTTGGAAAGGATAAAAGGATATTTTTTCTCTCTAAGAAAGCAGAAGAGAGGTGCAATATAAAGGGGATACATTCAGCAGAAATATTGCTTATAAGGCAAATTAATATAAATTCAAAGAAGCACATTCTTAAAGAGGACCCAGGGTCAAAAATGTAATGCAAAAAAGGAAAAATAATCTGAAAAAAGTTTCATGGGTGTGAAATCAACTGAACAAGAAGAAAAATTGTTCAGAGGGCAATTGCCATTACTTGAGAAATCATAGTTAGGAAGCAGCAGGCTATTGGGTTGGTATTGTTCAGCTTCATTAATGGATGCATATGATTCCTGGAAAAAGAAAGGTTCTAAAATTAGGAAAGTGCTGTGGGTTTAAAGTGGAATCCTCATTAAGAGCAGGAGTCGTCTTGTGTTGTTTATCTAGTGCAGGGCAGAGAGCTTTCAGGGCTCTTTCTACCCAGTGTGGGTGTTAAAACCAAGCAGTTGACCTTTGAAAAGCTAAAGGATTCAAAATTTCCATAAAGGTTTTTTCATTGTTGTTGCTCCTTTGTTATCCCAGCAAAATGCTTTAGGATAACACAGCTACTTCCAGTTTGTTTATGCCACTCAGCAGATAAACAAGTATCCCTTAGTTTTTCCCTTCCTTTATCTGAAGTGCAAATTTTAGGTAAACAGGGATCCTCAAAGCACATGGATAGTTTTCACTGATAAAGACCCCTCTAGGAAGAGTTACGGTTCCAGGATAATGATGATGATGATGATATAATAATAATAATCATAATACCTCTCATGACATCTATATTCTCCCTCACATGACAGGAATTTTCAAGGTAGATGTGTAGATTGAAAAGGGACCTATTTATTCATTTAACAAATATCAAGAAAAGGGGCATTTGGGAGGAAAATAGACATTGGATCTATGGAATTTTGTTTGTTTCTTTGAGGGAAAATTGCCTTAAGATATGGTTGATGAGATCAGTAATACTTCCGCTTCAAAGTGACTATAGAAATTGAGTGATTATGGCTACTGGGGAGGGGAGATGTCTTATTCTCTCTAATAGTTAAACATTAAGTGGGGATGTTTGCCCTCATATTTTCACACCTGCTATTTGGTCTGCTCACTTCTGATTTTTCACCCATGTAGTCCATCCAACATAAGGCTATCACACTTTTCCCCCAAGATACAGATCTGATTATACAAACAAACAAAAATAATTACAGAAGTCCAACACCTTCAGTGACTACTTATGGCTTATATAGTAAAATATATATATTTTTAAAACCAGGCTTCAAAGACTTCCACCAACCAATGTCAGTCCTACTTTTTGAAATAATGTCTCATTCTTCCTTATCATTTTCTATGATTTTAGCCTATACCCTATTGCCAAATGTCTCTACTTATTTCCACCTCCATGCTTCTCATATTCTCTTCTTGAAAGGAAATGATTTTATCCAACTCCACATATCTACATCCCATCCAGCTCAAAATGTCATGTGCTTTGGTCAGCAATTCTTTCATATCCCAACAGCTAAAGTAAACTTTCCCTCTTTGAAACCAGCATTCTACTGTATCTTGACAATCTCTACCAGTAGTGTCATTATATATGTGTTACCAATATTTTTCCACTCACTCACAGATATCATTTTATATATATATAATATCTTTGTAGCAGCAAGCTTTCAAAGCATTGCTAGAGGGAGTCTGTAGTAAGAGCATATCAACCTTTTTACAGTGTCAACCCAAGCTGATCTTTCACTATTTAATATTCTGTTAGTGCCTTGAACTATGCAGTATATTATACAACTGGTTATATCATACTAGCTTGGAATCATGTACTATTTGCATTGATCAGTGCCTTCATTTGTTTTCTGTCTAAATACAGAATTGTATAGTACAAAAGTGGGCATTTTTAAAGTCAGAGAGATTTAGATTTGAAATTAGCTCTGACTTTAAACAGCTCTATATACTCGGGCAAACTACCAAACACCTTAGAGCCTTAGTTTACTTCTAAAAATAGGGATTAAACCACCTCTATTACAATATATTTGTGAAGATTAAATGGAAAGATTTATATTAAGCACCTTGAACATAGAAAGCCTTAGGATGAATTCCAGCTTTTTTCTTTTGCTATATCATCTCATGAGCTACACTGTTTCTTCTTAAAAAGAACATCCTGTACCTCACTTTCTAAAAATCCTCTGAAGTGTATAGCAGAGTTGAAGGTGGTATGCAACTACTGTCACTGACTAAATGTGGTATAAACAAGTATAGAAACAGTTTTACACAGTTTTCAACATTGTATCTAATATGAGAAATCATTCTGCAATGGCTAGAATGCAGGTCAAACAGTCTGATATCTGATTCTAGATCTACAAGATATTACTTACTAGTAGTGTGACTTTGAGACAGGTCCTTTACTTCTTTGATTCTCCATTTCTTCACCTGCAAAAATGAGGACATTGGACTAGATCCATGGTTTCTAATTTCATTAGCATTTTACAATTTATTGGTTTATATATCCTATGAATAATATTTTATGGAAGTGACAAACATGGAATCATTAAAAGCAGAGTACTCTGGATGATACAAAGAAAATATTTAGGACTTCCACCTTTCAGTCTCTTCCTGTAGGCTAGACTAAATCTGGCTTAAATCTAGTCAAGGATTTACAGAGGGTGCATGAAGAATTTTGATAGCTCATCAGTCAATTCAGGCCTACTCAGAATGTATGTATAAAAAAATTACACTATCCATTCATCCATTGAGGAATGTTTAGGTTTTATCCATATTTTTGCTTGTGAATAATGCAGATATCTCTTCAAGATACTGATTTCAAATCCTTTGGATATACATCCAAAAGTGGGATTGCTGGATCATAAGGTAGTTCCATTTTTTGAGTAACATCCATGTTTTCTCTAATTGATGTGCCAATTTACATTCCCAAATGTCTGTTTACTGATAAATGGATCAAAAATGTGATTACACACACATACATGTGCATGTGTGTGCACACAGAGGAATATGTCAGCCTTAAAAAAGGAGAAAATCTTTCCATTTGTGACAAAATGGATGAACCTGATGACATTAGCTCAGTGAAATAAGCTAGATGCAGAAAGACAAATACTGCATGGAATCAAAAATGTTAAATTCATAGAGACAGAGAATAGAATGGTGGTTATCAAGGAGTGGGATATGGGAGATGCTGGTCCAGGGATACACAGTTTTAGTTAACAATACTGTATTATAAACTTGAAATTAGCTGAAAGGGTAGATCTTAAGTGTTCTCAACACACACACACGCGCACACACACACACACACACACACACACAAACTATATAAGGTGATGGATTTGTTAACCAGCTTGATGGTGGTGAATATTTCACAGTGTACATGTATAACAAATAATCAAACTGTACACCTTAAGTATATATAAGTTTTATTTGTCAAATTTAAGTCAGGTGGCCTTTTTAATTTTGGGGTGGAAAGGGGGAAAAATGCCAAACTTTAAACCACTCTTTATATGTACTGAATATTTCCTAAGGATTCTTTGAGCTACAAAAGTTATTTTACCAAGCATGCTCAGTACATTATCTAATTAGCTGAAAATTCCAAAGTGAAATTTCACAACTCTAATTCTTAAATAAGTAAATAAATAAATAACATGTATTGGCTTATACAAAGTAATACAGCTAATAAATGTGTGATCAGATATTGATGTTTTGTGTTTTAAAGACCATACTGGATACAAAACTCATGTGGATAAGCTGTCTCTGCACTTTCAATATCACTTAGAGTGTTTGAAGTTGACTACAATGTCATAGAACAGTGTACAAAAATTGTTCCAGAAATCACACAAAAGACTAAACATGTGCTTTGGAGTCAGAAAGATGGTTTTAACATTTTAACATTATAGTTCTGAGAAATGTACTTAAAGTCTTCAAGCTTCAGCTTATCTGTAAAATGCAAATCACAATCTTGATCTTCCTTGTTTTTGTCTGTGTGTTTTGTGATTATTAAGTAATATTCGCTATAAGAAATCACTAGTTCATATTAAGTGCCAATGAATATAAGTTCCTTTTTATTTCTCCTTTTAATAATTCCACACATATAGTAAACATTGTTTGGCATAGAGTGTAAAGCAATGTCAGCAACTCAACTTTTTAATGGTTTCTTTCACAGTGGTTTCTAACTTTCTAACCTTTTGGAGCTGTTAAAATAAAGTCAAATAATGATACTGCTGTGGCATAAGTGTATGCTAGGATCAATAAATTGTGGTTGTTGGAATAAATTGCAATTAAAGGGGTAGTACTTGATTGCTTGACAGTAGGTAGTCTTTCTGGCCCAAATAAACCAAGTATTAGTCTGATTTACAAGCTAATTAGTATGGACTTCACATGTGTTTCATTGGGAGACCATCAGATCATATTGACTTCTGTTCCCATCATGAGTGTGCCCTTGAAGTTGTTTTCTGTCACTTACAGGTGACAAGTCCTCTTTACTTGTTTACTTTGTTTATTTAAGAATATAGGCATCATTTTTAATCAAGTAGAATATGTAAGAAATTTACACTGTTTGCAAATTAACACTTAAACATCTAAAAACTTCAGTATTGGCGCTGGCCTTTTTTTTCCTCCTTATTGCTCTACATTTAAAATGAAAATATGCATGCAATCAGAAATGACAAAGGCATCAACATAGTAAGAAGGATGATTATTACTAAATCCTTGAAGCAATAGAAAAATACATATGAGCTTTAATTTATAGGCTAGAAAATCATAGGATAGGTATTTCAAGACAAACTATTTGAATAATACATAAAAAGACACAAATTATGTCTCCAAATAAAGACACATGCTTATCTAAAGTATAATTTTGTTTATTCTTAATTTTCTATTCAGTGCAGTATTTTATATGATAAATTCCAACATATGCCTATATAATTATCTACTGAATACAAGGCATTCATAGACTGAAACAAAGTAATTTAAGCAGTCCTTTGTTTTGTAAATTGCATTAAGGTATACTATGTATTTTCTTCTACTACCCATCTACCTACTACTCCATTTCCTGTTAGAGATTTAATACATTTTTGTTGAATAAATAAAAATGACAAAAGTACAATTCCTCAAAAGGCACAAAGATATATATGGTATGACTGTTTTAAAATTAAGCATCTTTTCCATTTAAATAGCTCTACCCCACACCTCTTATAAATACCACATTAGAAAAAAAAAGCAAACAAAAGTCAGAAAAACATGAAAAAATCCCTAGTGCCATGTCTTCTCTGTTGTCCATATTTAGGTTAGACATTTATGTTAGGTTGTTAGTGTTAAACCCAGTAAATCTGACATCATACTTATTATACTTCTGTTATTTAATTTTCCTTTTCTGAGCCTCATTTTCCTTTCCCAACCTTTCTTCGAAAGGAAGCTTTGCAAAGGCTAAAGGAAAAAGACTAATCTATTTGTACACTGATGAATTTTAATCACCTACCAGAGTTTCTGACTCACACGTGTACAATAATTATTTTTTTGCATAAGGAAACTCATCACAAATATTATTATCAATTATAAATCATTATAATACATTTCTGACATCAATTTACACATGAAAATATATTTTGCTAATTTTGGGTAATCTTTAAATATCTTTTATGTCTGACAATGTATAACTATATTAAATTCATTTTTTTAAGTTTTTTCCATTTTTAAAAAAGATTTTATTTATTTATTTCAGAGAGAGAGAGAGCACGCACACAAGCAGTGGGGAGGGGCAGAGGGAGAAGCAGGCTCCCCACTGAGCAGAGAGTCTGATGCAGGACTTGACCCCAGGGTCCAGTTTAAATTCAAATATCACATAATGTATTATTGGAAACTAAATTTAAGAAATTATACAAAAACTACAATATTAAACCTTAGTATTTTAATTAGCAATAATTGCACCTTGGATAAACCTCATTGGCTACCATACTGCTGCTGCACAAAGCTCAATGATAGTGTTTTAAAGAACAAAATAGTATTATCCTAAGATCAAAATACTAAAATAAATATTTCAATGGACTTCAAAGAAGTCCATGAACAAAATTATGAAAAGACAAATTAGAAACAAAATCCGTTCCCTAGCTCTTAGTTAATGTCATCCAAAACAAGAACTTGTGCTTCTTGAATGCAAAATATGTCTATTGACCTTGTTCTCCCCAGGATTTAACACAATACCTGCCTCATTGTGAGGACTAAATTTGTGTTTTAAATGCATTCATGAATCAATCAATTGCTTGATTCAGAATGTCTAAGAATAGCAGAACAGTGTATAAAATACCTGGAAAACAAACTAAAGACTGGAAAAATATACAAATGTATATTAGAGTAATTTAACTAATATGGCATAGGCTACATATGCTGTAGTTTTACAAGATTTGGTATTATTCTAAGCTGCAAGTGATATTAGAATTCCAGAAAAATAAAATACATCTGAGTATGTACGTTTAAAAACAAATTCCATTATCATTTTCCATTGTAAGCTCAGGGTCATAACATTAGAGTTGGAGAAATTATCTGAGAGCATCTTTTCCCCTTGTGTGTAGACTGATTGGTGAGGAGGATGGTGGGAGCATCCTGCTTTCCTGTGCATGGGTTACATTCACTGGAATCAATAGTAGAAAAGGAGGTACAGATGTGGATCTGAAAATGAGAGGTACTTGTAATTGCACAGAATGTGTGTTCCTGCATAGTTCCTGCTCAACTCTGACTGATCTTTTTTTTTATTTTTTATTGTTATGTTAATCACCATATATTACATAATTTGTTTTGGTGTACTGTTCCATGATTCATTGTTTGTTCATAACACCCAGTGCTCCACGCAGAACGTGCCCTCCTCAACACCCATCACCAGGCTAACCCATCCCCCCACCCCCCTACCCTCTAGAACCCTCAGTTTGTTTTTCAGAGTCCATTGTCTCTCATGGTTCGTCTCCCCCTCCGATTTACTCCCTTTCATTCTTCCTCTCCTGCTATCTTCTTCTTTTTCTTTTTTCTTAAAATATATTGCATTATTTGTTTCAGAAGTACAGATCTGTGATTCCACAGTCTTACACAATTCACAGCGCTCACCGTAGCACATATCTTCCCCAACTCTGACTGATCTTGAGTCTGTCCATCTGTCTGATTTGATTATCAATTTGTGTGAAATCTTGTTATGGTTATAATTTTATGTGCCGCACAATTGTGATGTCGTTAAGATAAAGCAAATGTTTAAATACTTATAATTGCCAGGTGGCCAAATCCTAGGCCATGGGGAAAAGATAATTCCCTCTCTCCTCACTATAACACATACCCACCCTACCAGTCTCCAACAATTTTTATTCTCAAGAGCCGCATACACACCACTATCACCCAGTTGATTTCCGCTTCTCTTCCTTATTCCTATCTTCAGGCTCCACTGC